CAAAAATTAGCCTGGCTGGTGGCTGATACCTGTAATTCCAGCTTCTTGGGATGGTGAGGCAGGACAATCACTTGAACCCAGGAGGCGAAGGTTGCAGTGAGCCGAGATCACACCACTGCACTCCAGCATAGGCAACAGAGTGACACTTTGTCTCAAATAAAACAAACAGGCACAGAATAAATGTTTGACAAAATTCAACATAATCTCATGATAAATCTCTCTGAACAAAACAGGTATAGGACAAATGCACTTCAAGCCAGTATACACCACATATACCAAAAAAAATGCATGGCTAACAACATATTAAGCTAGGAAATACTTTAAGCTTTTACTGTAAAAGCTAGAAGCAGCACGACAAGAATGCCCACTTGTTTGTATTAAACGTAGTACTAAAATTTAGAGAATAAAATCAAAGGCATCCAGCTTGGAAAAAAAGTTAGATTATCCCTGTTTGCAGAAGACATACTCTTCAGTGTAGAAAAGCCTAAGACCTCACTAAGAATTCTAGAACTAATAGGTTTATTAAACTTGCAGAATACAAAATCAACACGAAAATCAGTAGCATTTCGATACACTAACAATTAACCATCTCAAAATGAAATAAAAAGCAATCCTGGCCAGGCACGGTGGTTCATGCCTGTAATCCCAGAACTTTGAAAGGCTGAGGCATGTGGGTCACAAGGTCAGAAGGTCAGGAGATCAGGAGATCAAGAACAGCCTGGGCAACATGGTGAAACCATCTCTCTACTAAAAATACAAAAATGAGCTGGGTGTGGTGGTGCATGCCTGTAATCCCACCTACTTGGAAGGCTGAGGCAGGAGAATTACTTGAACCCAGGAGGTGAAGGTTGCAGTGAGTTGAGATCATGCCACTGCACTCTAGCCTGGTGACAGAGTGAGACTCCGTGTAAAAAAAAAAAAAAAAAGAAAAAAGCAATCTCATCTACAATAACTATACTTTGCAATAAAGGTAACCAAAAAGTTAAAACACATTACACTATAAAGAACCTTAAAGTAAGAAATTAAATATTACATAAAAAATTGTATACTCATTAATGAATTGGCGTTAATATTGTTAAATATCTGTATAACACAAAATAATCTACAGATATAACACAACCTTTATCAAAATACCAGTGACATACTTAATAAAAATTTTAAAAATACATATCTAAAATTTATACGGTACCCCATAAAAGATCCTGTATGGACAAAGCAGTCAAGCAGGGGGTAAAAAAATAAGCTGAAGTTTATTACCCTACCTGATTTGAAATACACTACAAAGCTATAGTAACCAAAACAGTATGGTATTTGCATAAAAACAGACACATATGCCAATAGAGCAGTAAAGAGAAAACGGAAAGGTATCCACGTATTTACAGTTAACTCATTTTAAATATAGGTGATACTTTCTTAGGGGGAGTATCTTCAGTAAATGGTGTTGAGAAAATTATAGCCACAAGCACAGCAATAAAAGGAGACCCTCCTCATTTCATATCATATCTAAAAATCCACTAGAAATAGTTTCGATACTTAAAGGTAAGGGCTGAATCTCTGAAATTACTACTAAAAATATAAAGGCTCCATAACAACAGTCTAGGCAGTAACTTTTGATTTAACCTCAACATCCCAGGGAATCAAAGGAAAAATAAATGTCATATTACTTCAAATTATTAATAAAAACTGCTGCAAAAAATCTGATACAACAGGACAAAAAAACTAAAAAATGGGACAAAATATTTGCAAACCATTCATGTGACAAGACATTCATAA